CTGCGCAGGAAAAAACATTGTCAAGCGCTGGTTTAGCAGTGTGGTCCATCGGTCGCCTACGTTTCTGGTTCCATTCGATTACGGCTGACCTGTCGCGAATTCGGGTGAAATCTTTATCCTATGTTCTACGAGAGTGAATGAACTCACGTCACGTCCGACATTTCAGAAATAGTTATCGACTTGGCTGAGGTGATCTAATTGTCCACCCGTTAGTCATGTCTATTCAAAACGATGGTTTAAGAGTCTTATATGAATCTATAAGTGAAGCAAGTCCTGGTATTGAACGGTGACACATAACACCCAATCGCATCAGCCTCTGCAGCACTGAAAAGCGGTTTGCTCTCAGCTGTATTTACAGGGAGTCGATTTATATCCGTTGCTGCCAGGTGAATTCCATCAGTTACCTAACAACCGGGGGTGCGTGGAATAAAAACGCAGAACAGTGAGAGATTAATACAGTGGAGCCTTTCATCGCACCTTTCTTTTTTGGATGTATTCACTTCACGGGCTCTCAAATTTCCTTAAAGAGTCTCGGGGTGACTTTCTCTGATTTGCTCGTACATTAATATTACTAATTATTATCCTATAATATTGCTTACACTGTAATACTTAGTGAAAGAAAGACGCTTTCAACTAAAGGCAGCTCTCCTGAAGAACACAAGACGAGCATTCTCCGCCGTGTTTATGGATAGCCTGGCTATCCACCCTTGCTAATGTGTTCATGATTTTGCTCCTGGGGGAATAGAGGTAGATGTGTTAGACTTCATATTTTCATAATGAATTTCAAAACTCATAACTAGTAAACATCGTTGGAAGCTGTCATTCTATTTGTCCGATGTGTCCAGCATCTGCGTTGTGATCACTAACTGTCCAACTTCCGTACAGTGTACCGTAAAGTGTCTTTGCCCACTAAGGTACTTAGGTTGACTTGCTAGCCACATAGTGTGCAGGGGGGAACTGATACTAACAATGCGGACCCTTCTTCAGGAGTTTCAAAGTGATGGCAGATATATTAGAGATCCTAATCAATCGGTGTGGATCTCTGGCGACGAAATAAAGATATCCTCCTATCAACTTGCGAAATGTTTCAGGTCAGATTACCAACTTCGATAGGTAGAATGAAAACAGTTAAATGTGGTCTTAAGAGATCGACAAAGATTGCAATCTCCGGGGGGTGATTCACCTTGAGGGTGATATTCTGAAGGCGACAGACGCATATTCAACTTTTGGCGACCAGGATCTTGATTATCGCCCGGGATTCCGTGATAAGTGAGGACTTCGGATGCGGGTTAGGGTGACTGTGGTTGTAATTTGCACAAGCCTGAACTTTGGTGAACAATACCACTAGCAAATAGCCAAGTCAATCTCTGGGTCGTTCTGCTGACCAAGATGTGGCAAGCAGTTGTTAATTGACTTCAGTTAGCAGTGCAGTGTTCTGTGTAGCGCACTATACAGGGTGTCGGCAAACGGCCAGTGATTACTCATCATCATCATCATCATCATAATAGTAATAATAATAATAATAATAATAATAATAATAATCACTGACGGCAACATCAGATGGGAATATTGGGGCTTTACTGCCATACATGTCTGATAGACATCACAAGTCAATAGAAAGCAAGTGTGCCGTCCGGCTTGTTTCGCATTGCGAACGATGAATGCTGCCAGATGAGCTGATCATCCGGCGTCCAGTTTCTTCTTGACTGGGCTTTGATGATTCACACTGCTGATTCGCCTCAAGTCCCAGTCAAGTCAAGGAAAACTTTATTTGTCAAAAGTGTTAACTTTCAGTAACTCACCACCAAGAATTCCACATAAAGCCATGGAGAACGTGTGATAGTCAGCTGTAAACAGAGGTAGTCGGAACGAACAGTTCTTCAGGGTAAACTATAACAGTTGTGCAGTCCAGAACAAGGACTTCGCTACTTCTGAAAGTTCTCAAGTGGGCAAAGAGAAAAATGGTAAAACTGTGCACGACGCTGAAACAGCTCTGGAACTTCCATCGCGCAAGGAGTATCGTTAGGAAATCAGGTGTACCAGATTGTTTCAAACGCTGAAACTAATCGGGATGTCTTTACATAGAAGTTCCAGTGATCCAACGGATTAGTAAAATCTGTGTACCCATGGGAGAGGAATATGAGTTGCAGCGAATTCTAAAATATGGTTCTGCGGGACTGACGTGTGTATCTGCCTAGAAGAGTAGATACAAGGTTTTCTAATCTTAAGAAACACACATTTGTCATCTTTGGTCAAACGTACAGCCTGAGTAATCGACTAAATGACGTCAGTGAATGTGTTGGTTAACGACAAAAAGAGGCCGAATAGTGTGGTGTGGGTCACCATGTGACCATCTTACCGACAAACTTTAGGGTGATCGATTTCGGAGGACTGTTAACGAGCCACTTTCAAGATTTACTGAGGCCACCTTGAAAGAGATTGAAAGCGAGGAGGGCTCGTACCGTGAAAGACACCCGAGTATGTTTAGGGAGTAAGTTTTACGGCAAATGTAAGCTGTAACCTGGATCCGGTTACTTGATTAACCACTACGAGTATTCACTTAACATTTTTTGACACTCTCGTTAGAATGAATTTGAGGCCGAATTCTTCACTTACGGCCTCCAGACGCTCTAACTTAGTCCCAAAGTAGCAACTTAGTTGTTTTTCGTTTTCTGTCAAATCCCGAGGCAATGCTGTGCACGGTGAAAGACGCAACCGGAGCGCCTATGTGTGAATTGTAGTTCGTCCAGCATGTTCAGTCTTGTAGTCCATTGTTCCAACTGATACTCTGTTTGGAGCAGACGTTTTACAGATGCCTTTGGAGGTTTTCACGTAATATGGGCACAGACCGGTGGTATAACTAGGTACTAGGTGCAATCCTTCAGCATGATCGACCATCGGGACCGTTCACACTTTAGTAGGCTTTGTTCTTTGTAGCGGCGTACACATCTCATCACCACCAAGCAAAGTGGTATGATTAGGGTTCGGCAGAGCAAACTTTAATTAAACTAAAGAAGACACTAGCGATTTTATCTGCTTCAGAATTACTCATTGGGTGGTTACTTCAATTCGTTCAAACTCTCCAGAAAACTTGATTCAAAGTCTTATTTCGACATGGGGAAAAGTAAGATGATTGGTTTATAGTTTCCCTTGGTAGAATAGACACTTCATCTCTTCACGCTAGTGATCCTTGTATGCTCTCTCATTTGCCCAACCGGGCTGTTTTATGTGAGAAGGGAGACTATCTGTAGGCTCGGTCATATTTTGCATTGGCTGGGCAGCATAAATCAAAACAAGGCTTGAGACAGTCAGTCAGATGTCCACAGTGGGAGGCAGATTCCAGACGTGTGGAAGTGGGATTGATAACAGAAACAACCATGTCTTTTAAGCCGGCAGGATTTCAAGACGTGCAACTCGTTTCTACGTATCTTACGAGAAGAAAGTTCGACCGAATGTTGGATGCTTTCACCATGAATCCTTAGATGACAAATGAGAGTTTTATGGGAGGTCTATTTGTAAACAACCAAGCAGTCAGGTCTGTCGATTGAAGTGAAATCAAGTCGGACGTCAAATCAACTAGGGAATTCAGATGGATTTATCAGACTGGATATTGTTGGAAAGTGTCAGCTCAGTGTCAGTAATGCACGGAAAATTATCAAGGAAGGCAGTGAAGTCGACTGAAGTGGCTTCACCCAATGGAATAAGAGAAATGACTATGTTCTGGACAGTGCAAGAGCGACTTGTAAGCCAGCGTTTCGCTTCGTTGACTGACTTTTGCAGTTCCAGACTACTCATTTAAAGCGTTTCATAAGTGAGCGGTCAAAAACTAATAGACAGTACGACAGAATATCAAATATTAGAAACGGTGTAAGAATATGTGGACTTGAGGATGTCCCATCGAAGCAGGTTTAGTTTCACACTCAATGGCCCCAGTTTGCCCTGCACTTACAGATGACTCGGTTGATAAGCTGGGAACCGATGCTTACTTGGTAAGGTGTGGTGTCCCAATTGATATCTTACTTTTTTGACACGCTGAGGATCAGATTGATATTTGTGGGTCTTCGACTTGTTAAGGTTAAGCAACAGAATTGTTCATCGAATATTATCTAACTGAAAAAAGTCGTGTTCAAACGACCGTTTCTACAGAGATTGGGGCCATCCGGTGCGACCGAAAAATCAGCCATCGCAAATGACGATCGTATCTTTGGTATTCTCGGCACTCCAGAATGATGTTCAGTTACCTACATACCATTCTGGTTTTTTACCGGGGACTCACATAGAACTCAGCTGAATCTGCCGCTTATGATGTTAGTCTGTTGCAATTTGGGTTCAAGTAAAACATATAGTTGACGGAAACTCGACGCCTACACCTATCTGATGCGCCGCAAGAAGGGCGAAACCGGACGTGGGCTGTCAAACATTTTACATCAACCTTATGAGTAGTGTATGACGTCTATAAGATGTTCAGTTCTGTTTCGGTTCTATTCTGTTCCAACATCGTGTTCTCCATTTCCGCTAATCAAATCTAAGGTCACGACGCTTCTGAAAATGAAAACATGCGAATCGAATAAACATTAGGCACGACTTTCCAGCGAATCCTTGAAGATGGAATCGGTCGTTAATCCAAACAAGCAAAGACGTCAATCGGCAATTAGCCCGAAATTTATTTGTGCCTATGCATCGAAGCTCCGTTTTGTTTTGCGAAGCATTTGTGTGGCAAAAACTATCTCGAGGTCACTTCAATCACACCCTACTTTCATTGGTACGCATGATGTGTACTTGGCAACCGGCGAAGCGATATCACAATACGGTAATTTCGGACAGGTCGTGTTCGAGGCAACGTGTTTGTCTGTACGTCTCAGTTTGGTTAATAAGCTCAACTTAATTCTATCTGTCACGAATCAGTGAGAGTGCAGGTCACCCGCCAGTGTATGTGAGGCATAACAACTGCGGTTTCTGCGGTTTCGCTTGGATTAACCGGATTCGAAAGCGGGTCATAGCAATGTAAACAACATCCTGAGTATAAAACCACAATGAATCGGGCGCACGACTAAATAGAACGTCTTGAATAGGTGAGTGGTTGTTTTCTTTATGACCATGTTTACATGCTACGAATGTGAATCCTGTAGCGGCGGAGTGCTTTATGTGTGAGCACGTAGTTGTAAATTGTATTGCTGTACAGTACACTCTTTAGGGAAACTTATGGGTATCACAAATACAGGGGTGACTGCTGCGGCATACATTAATCCGTTGTTCTATAATATTACTTAGCTTCCTAACTGTTGTGACACGAAGCTGTTCGTAACGGTAGAACCGTCAAACTGGCTTCTTCAGTGTCAACTGTGCTATAAAATAGGCATGCATTCTTGGTTGTTAGAACTGATATCACACTTTAACCTAAAACTTGGCTTTATTTCCAACCTATTGAGCGTTAAGAAATCTATACCTACTGCCCCCATTGGTAAGTAGAATGGCATGAAAACGTCCAGCATTACTCCTTTCTCAAAGTTTGCTTGATCACCAATCCCAGGGACCTTCATCCGGAAGTAAATAAATCGTCTGCCTAGGGGATGAATTAATCTTGCTCGATAAATTAGCGATCTTTAACTATAGGGTCCCCGTCGTGGAACTTCCAGGAATTTTCATTTCTGAAATGTTGGGGCGTTTGGCGGTAAAACTCGATCGCTTTTGTAGACTAGAACTTTCTTCATTCCGAAAACAGAAACTAGAATATCCTAGCACTGCATAAGCTACTGAAATTTAAGAGCGACGTGTTTTGTCCCCAGTAGGTGTATTATCACAGATTATTGAGAACGCCCGACGATTCGGTCACCTCTACTTCACACGCTTGCACTGATATCAGACTTTACAGTGGTGTAGCTTTGTATCTGGCATGCCGAGTAGTCAAAGGCAGTTGGCACATCAAAAAAGAATCTGCTGTAACTCATATCAACAAAGGTGGTCTAGCTGGTCTCGCGTTGGTCGACAACACCACGAATATTGTAAGCAGTTGAGAGATAGTAGACAAGCTTCATCAACTGTCGATTTTAGACGCTGCTTTTTTAAGGCTAACAAATTATCCAGCTGCAACGATCTAGCAACTGTCTATACCGTTCAAACCAAAAAACGTCGACATATAATAGGTATCTATCAAGTAACTCATTTATGTTAGGTAGATGGTAAAAAGAATTGAATGGAGACTTTAGGGTCACAGCAGAATGAACCCTACGTCACTACCACATCTTGATCAGTTGATTCTTTACAATCCTTCGTCAGAAAGCACACTTCTCTGTTGAACAGCCTAACCATCAGTTCTAAACAGATTCACCATATTGTCAGATTCTCATTCCTGGGCTTGTGAACAGGCAAAACGTGAAGTGCAAGATCTTTGAATTGGACTTGTAATTGTTGAATGAATGCAGTTCACACTGTGAGCCTGTGTCAAATTACACTAAGAGTTACGCTAAGGCTGCATGAGCATGTTGATGGCTGGCTGAGTGAAGGTTAACCTTTAGTAGATACATACTACGAGTACAACGGTCTCCTGGCAATTACTCAAACAAGCGTTGCGGACTATATATGCTTCTTGTGCAAACACAGGCTTCAATAACTCCGTCTAAACATGGAGCGCCATTCGTCAAGGGCTATCCTTTTGGAGTTGCGGCGCCAAAGTGTCGAACAGAACTTGAAAATCAAACACGAGTGACATCCTCGTGTACTTCTGGAGGTTAGGATGAAAGATAATGCAGATTAGTGTATGGATCTCATTTAATAATACGTCAGCCTTCATTTTAAGCGCTTCTCGATATATGGTGGAACACGTTTACAGACTTATGAAATAATTGGTCCTTGGACGTACATATTTCGTCTATATTTTTGACGTTACGGTACCCGTAGTAAAGAACCCGTCGGCGGGACAAGCGCATAAGATTGTAGTGATTCAAAAGGACTACCTGGATTAGTGACTGTTTGGTTGACTGATTGACTGACCTTCCAGTGAACTGGCATACGGTGTCTCGAATCAGGAATGATCACAGGTACTCAATCTGGGCGTCACACATCTGCTTCTCACATGAGTGGAACAAGCGAAACTAAAGGATGAGGACCAAGTTTCCTCATCATCTACTGGGATTCTACCAAGTAAGCAGAACACGTGGGACACCGATGACCACTGAAAGATGAGGTCATTTGAAACCAGTCATGTAATCCTTACCTGTATTTCGGCAAGAAGCCCATACAAACCTACACCTTTTGGCAGCTTGTAATTCTTCTGTCAAGGATTTGACGTTTTCCGACACATTTGGCCTCCAACTTCCATCCAGTATTTCTGTGTATTCCGTGTTCGAGTTCTCGCGTAAATTGGTCAATGTCAACTAGCCGATCAATCACAGAAAACTAAAGGCGTTTATTACATTTCTACCTGGTGAATATTTCCCCCAAATACTGTAGAGAAATTGTATCTTATTAATCTCTGTATCTTCTCTATTTCAGCAGAAACCGTCCAGCCATTGTGGTGCACTTCATAACTTTCCAAAAACTATGGATGCCAAACAGTTCATCGATGCCTGCAATTATCTGTCCAACTACATCGCAACCTATCGAAATCAAATATGTCAGCATGATTTCCCTGTTATGCCAGACTTTGAAAAGATACAACCTGGCTACCTGAGACCTTTATTGACATCCGAAGCACCAGAAGATGGGGACTCGTTCCACGAAGTGATGAGGGATGTACGGTATAAAGTTATGCCAGGGGTAAGGCAAATTCATACGTATTCATCTAGTATCTCACCTTGCCCAGTTTTTTGACAATTTACTCACCAAATAGCAAGACGAACTTTGCCACATTCCAGCAAGACTTAATTTGCAAAATGCATCTCGTGAATAATAAGCTGGTGGCACTCAGAGTCTTGTAACATACCCCATGTATAAGTTAAAAAAACAACCTTGGTTCACGTGTTTATGCACAAAATTGAAGCCCAGTACAAACTGGCGCATCTGTTTACTTAACCTATACCGATCAAGTTTGAATTAACGGGACATCGCTTCAACCTTTCTGACAAAGTTCCTATTAATTCTTCCACTATCCTAGACATCCATGCTTACAAACAGCGCATAGCTGTCCCTATCTAGAGTGTTCATTCCAAGCCATGTTCATATACTATGGCCTTCGGCTAAGTAAAACATGGCGTCAGATTTTTATGCGTTTATTTAAGTGTGGAATCTTTGCTTTTGTGATCGTCCCATGTAGTGCCTAATTATTTTTCAGACTGAATCATATCTCCTAAATACCCGGACTAGGGTGCCACAGTGTTCTCTTTATGAAACGTCCTAGTATAGACTTAAGTAAGTCGTGAGCCATTTTTATTAGAGTAGATTTTTGATGATGCTTTAAGGCGTAGGTGCACTCGGCCTCCTCAAGTACTTCCTTGCCTCGGTTAAAAGCAGCTTCATATAGACAGGGCATTGAATGGGAGTGGCCTAACAAGCCTATAGAAGTCAACATGCAAATTATGCCTCCACAAATCCTCAGCAGTGGAGGATGTTCTGAACCAAGGCCATTAACCCGGAGATTCTACACATCGGTCTCCATCACCCACAAATTAGTCTGCGGTCCCCATAAGAAAAAACTCCTTGCCCGTGGTATTTTGCCTTTCGGCTTAATTTACAGAAGCAGTTACTTAAAATAACAGTTAAGCAGTTTTTGTTATCCACTCCGCAAATTGACGCGACGATCAGATGGAAGGAACTCTTCCTCAAATACCAAGTCAACTAAACCCCATAGGTCGTGCTCATTTGGCCATGTGCTTCACATGACAACGACAGATCGGCTCTCACAGCACCTCTTGCTCAGGTACTGGACAGAAACCGCTAAAAGACTAACCCAGAGGCGAAGTTTGCAAGTCCTAGAAAGTAAACCCAGTCCGGTTGGAAACTACCAACCCTGCTTTGGGATTTCAATGTTACACATCAATAGCCAACGACTGAAAAACATGGTCCTCTCACAAAGTCAGGACTCTCCTGTAGCAAACTTATAACATCCAAGGCACATCTCTTTCATTCTCAACTTACTCAGCCAACCAGAACAACATAAAAGCAATTAACCGATTAGGACATCACTTTCGTGAACCTTAATTTTTCCCCATTTTTCGGTGGAGGAAACCTCAGCGACCAGAACCAACGTACCCGTTGTACGCGGAATTACCGAACTGAGCACCACCGATTTTCGATTCCGCTTATGGGCTTAAAGCAACTCAGCTGAACAGAAAATACATAAGGAGAAAGAAGCCCGTTTTTATACAACCCACCGCAGTTATAGAAAGATTGGAGGATAAATTTGGCTGGTGGCAAATACCTAGATTTTGTGATCCAACATATTTCAACAGGCGATCAGGAAACATCATCTGGCAGGCCGCCTAACTGTTTATCCAAATCGTTTCCATGCACCCAGAGATTAGAAATTTCAGTAAGAATGACTCCTTTGTCAATGAGGAGGATGCGCTGTATCTAGTTGACTCTCAACCTTAACAAGATCTTCGCATGGCTAACTGTTATGTCTGCTGACCCGCTCTAGTGCCTAGTGTCGGAGAGAAAAGGGCTCACTGAAGGGAACACAATAGCTATATTCCGACAAAGCGGTTGCGAGAGCGCGAGTGCGTGCGAGTGCGAAAAGTACAACGGCCTCAAGCATTTTATTGGAAGGACACTGTCTGAACTTGGTCCAATGCTAACGCACACGGCCTGGCTGCGACGTGCTGCATATCGCGGGGCGTCGTCTGACCTTGATCAACGCTGACTCGCGCTGTCTGGGCTTGATACAAGGCTGTGACGCGCTGCATATTGAGGGGGCGTTGTCTGTCTGGTCAACACCTATCGGAGCTGAGTCTCGGTAGATTTCGGGCATTCAGTGGTTGCCTTCAAGAAGCTGACCTTCCTGATACTAACGAAAGGTGATATTCTCGATAATGACTTAATTTGATACGCCACCTCAAAAGAAGGGGATACATTTGATGTAGAGCAGTCCAGTGATTATTCGATCCCAGCCCACTTACAGGTTTAGGCTCACTCAGGAGCTGAGTTCGGTAGATTTCGGGCATTCAGTGGTTGCCTTCAAGAAGCTGACCTTCCTGATACTAACGAAAGGTGATATTCTCGATAATGACTTATTTTGATACGCCACCTCAAAAGAAGGGGATACATTTGATGTAGAGCAGTCCAGTGATTATTCGATCCCAGCCCACTTACAGGTTTAGGCTCACTCAGATTTGACAGAATTATCTGTTGCAGAACCAACAAGCCATAAGAAAAAGTCTGCGCACAAGTTCCACGGCTTGATCTTTATTCAGGGGTTCGCACCATAAGGACACATACAGCGATCTCTGTTATAAGTAGATTGTCGTTCTCTCCAAACAAAGGTATCTATTCTCTCTCTACCTAGCTACCTACTTACCTAACTGCCTTGTGTTATCGAACTAGCGTATTCTTATCTGGCCCCATCTAAGCAGTCAGCTGCATTTTCTCACCTGTTTGCGATCAGATGACACATTGGCAACACCCGAAATTCTTGGCCTACTACCCCACAAGCAGCAGTTATCCATCGCTCCTCGGTGACTTTTTGAGTCTGGCAATCTCACCCATCGGTTTATCTTGGGTAAGTATGTGAGGATAGTCACGTTTGTCAGTAACATTCCATTTAAGTTGTTAACTATTCTTGAGAATTCAACTAGTAATGTTTCGAATTATATTGTGGACATCTGTTACATGCGCCACCCGACGATAAGTAGGTTATCCTAACTGGAATTAGCGTGTAGCTCGGATTCTCTGTCCAGTATACTGTCAGTATACCAGCATAGCATACTAATGTTTTGTCACCTAGACAGCCGCGCTTATTGTGTGAGTTACTGATCACTTTTCCCCGGGCACGACTCATCGCATGAGGGTGTCAAAACAGCACATTCGATCAGACACGGATCAGTAACACGAAGCTAAAGTTGAAGAATCTACTTAGGTTTGAACAAAGTTGGGCGCACGCTGAACAGAGCGCCAGTTTCGTTTTGAATATATCGTCAGAAACTCCTAAAGACAGTTCCGTGCCGCACAAAAGGATCGTTTTCCCCACAGATTCCTCTGAGATCTATCTTTGACAAGTAACAAGCTGCTAGTCTTAGGAAACGTCTTGGAACTATGGTTTTTTGTAGGTGTGCATCTGTGAGTTGGGCTGTGAATTCATTTCGACGACTCCATGTTTGCTTCGAGTGCGAGAGATCCTTTTTTAAAATAAGATTATCCGGATGGATCTCGACACAAGCCGATAGCGTAACAGAAGTCTTCGCTTTTGATAGATGTTATTTTTATTTGTACAGAAGATTATATAATAGGCTCATTGGTTTGTTCGCCAAGGTAGACAATTTGATTGCAAACGTTTCATCACCAATCGAAGTGACATCATCAGTGCGTTGTTAGAGGGCGTAGTGGAACAAATCAACGGGTCGGTGGTTGTGCCAACCCATCCACTGCGCTCCCTAAAAACGCACCGAGGATGTAACCTCGATTGGTGATGAAATGTTTGCAATCAATTCGCCTAGCTCAGTGAACAAACCGGCAACCATCTATGCTACCTGAGCTACCAACATTCTTCTCTAAAATAGAATATATCTTTCGTGCATGTATATGTCAAAATACTTCAGCGGATATTACTGGCGTTTGCAAAATGCACTTCGATAAGTAAGACAGTCTATCTAGTAGTGTGCGTGATCTTTTTGGCAAAATGTGTATAATTTCACCACTGCTTCCGACGTCTTGCCACAGGGGTATAGGATGGGACGGTAAAAAACACAATAGTGTCAAAAGCTCTCATTCTAAACTAATTTGGTTTTAACCGGCGATCCAACCAAATCCAGGTTACAACTCATTTGTGGTGTTCTTCTCCAACTAAACGTGTTGCACAAGATCATCCTATGTTTCAGCTGGTTGGGTATCGAGATATCGTCTTGCATTGCCTAAACGTAACGCTGCTAAAGATTCTTCAACAAAGGGTTTCCAGTAGAAGCGTGGGTACTGTGTCACGTCTAACTAAATCGCTATTTCTTAACGGTCCCTAAATGAACGATAGCAGATGTGTACGTCCTGAAAGATCAATCATTTCAGCAGTCAGGGTATAGAGTGAAGACCTCCTCATTGAGCTGTTTCACGCACAGGCAGAAGTGTTGTAAGGAAAATACCGGCGATTTACTAAAGAGTTAACTCTTCGTTGTTGGCATCAGTAACGGCTTTGAATACGGTAAGGTCGTGTCTGCACTGTATATAAGCTAGGAATTTTATGTAATGATGGCTAACGCGATGTTTGAGCGCTCGTGGATTACACCGTCAGTTATCTAAGTAAACACAATGATCGGCAAATAACCTATGGCCAACTGAATAAACATCACAATAAAAGAGGACCATGGGTGATGAATGTAGGACAGTGCATGCGAAGTTGAACTACCGGAAATGTTTACACGATGTTTCGGAGTTAGGGCACTCTGGATTGATCGGCGATGGGAACCTCGATAATAATAACATACAAATGACTACTGAAGACAAATATTCCGAAAGTTTCACTGTGACGATAAGACATCTCAGATGGATTTATTGGTGGATCCCCAGAAAACGGACAGGCCGATTCGGAATTACTCGTCAAATCCATAATCCAACGCTATCATGGTTGCTTGTGGCGAGTTGGGTATTATCTTCTCCGCTTATCGAAATGGGAATTCGTAGGATCTGACCTATACCAAACACGTGGGGACTTTGTTTAGAGGTGACCCGAGTGAACACTGAAAGTTACGGTGTTCAAATTATTATGTGGAGGAATTTTATGACGAGTTAAGGTAAAAAAAAATGACCATTCAATTTGTCCGAAAAAGCCAACAGCATAACTTAAACTCAGTCGACCAAATTGACCAGCCATAAAAGCGTATTCTATGACCACGTGATTCCTGAGTAAGTGGTACTTACCGTCGATCGGACGGTTGGGTAACGTTCGCGACAATCGGATAAAAGCAACTAAAACAAACAATTTATTCCACAAATTTGATGATTCGATTTTCGGAGTTTGACCGAATGTGACTGAAGAATCATAATGGTTTTTCGTTGGCTTTATAACTTAGTTGTTACTGAAAATGCGTTGAAAAAAACTAAACCAAGTCCTGTAATCGTTATAAATTTTAGAAACCCAGATCAGTTATAAAGTGACCACAATTCTATTTGCGATTTCCTGAAGAAGTCGAACAGGGTCATGAAACTACACCGGTTTACTTGCTTTTTCATCAGTCGCAAACATAGTCCAATCTAAATTTATAGGTTTAAGGCTTCGTACAAGACAGGACGTTTAACTGCATAGTCGAGAAAGTGAAGGTGAACAAGTAAACAAATAGCGCAAACCAATAAAATCTGTATACAAAATTTAGACTTTTTTCCTTCGAACACTATCGGAGGACCACTGGCCACGATTGTGAAAACCCTCTCTGCCTTGAACTTGAGTGAGCTTCTTAATCGTTTCATCAACAATAGATGGTAGTAAACCTATAGACCATACTCAAATCACCCTGCATCCTGAAACATTTCTACCCCAAGGAAGTATAACCTGTTCACACATAATCCTTTCCCTAGTAAAAAAGGCCGCCATTTTTTTATAAAAAAAAATTAGGTTACTAGTAAAGTAACTTCTTGTCTCCGTGATTCTAGGTTTCTGTACGATGTGTAAGGGGTTGAGGTTCTTCTGTGTGACACAAGATGGTCCATATGAGACATTTTCAATTTTTTCGGGTATGCATTACGAAAAGACAGTATGTGATGTACTATCGTTCCACAATTGTTATTTCCAAACCGTTCCACTTATATCTATTCAGTTCGCTTGCCCTGCGAGTACTGAGCTTGAAGTGATCACTCTGGACTGGTTAGCACACGCGATGGGCTTGCCGAGCAAGTTCATGTTCTCATCCACAGGAAACGCTAATGGAATTCGTGGAGGCGGAACGATTGAGGTTAGTTGCCATTGCGTATTGTTCTTCCTTACATGCAATTCCCGACTACCCCCGTAAATGGCCATTGAGAAGGATAGTCTAGTTCATCATGAATTTCTTCTGGTATCATGACTCGGCTTAAATATTAAGCGAAATTAGTTCCACTTTACCTGTGGTTGTCTGCCTTAGCAGGGATGAGATCGGGGCAGCTGACGTTTCTTCCTTGACTCATAGTTATTCTCATTTTGTCAGCCATCACGCAACTGATAGTAGTTCACTGACTACCAGAAAACTTCCGGTTAACTTCAAGGTTGTAGCTGCAGAAATTCTCAGAAAGAACTGGTTTTCCACCGTCCACGGTGTCCTTCAACTGAACGTGCTGCACAGAGGACGCCTCATGACTTAGTGAGCATGGTATTCGAGATATAACAGCACATTTCCTCGAATTAAACTACTCACAGGATTGCTGAAGACTCCTTACAGCCAATGACCGGTTTTGCCAATCTCGCGGCTCATCAGGTAGGCGCAGTCCCAGAGGTTTCATCAGCTCTATGTCCTACTTGAACCCGAATTCTAGGCAATTCGCGAGATCACATAAACAAAAACGTTGCCAAAAACTTGAAGGCTGCGCCTACTCAATGAGCCTCAAGAACGGCGAGGCGAGTTGTTGTTTGCCGAGGGGGATGTTAGCAAACTTATGAGTAGTAGTGTAGATTCCCCCTACTTTTCGACAACTTATTCATCCTAAGGTGATTTGCGAAGGCATTTCACAAACGTTAAAATAAAACGTACTTCATCTCGTAGGATAGTGAACAGCAGCTCATATTGAGCACGAAGATGATTGAAAGATGACCACTGTTGTAAAACCGGTCCAATGAAAGGAGATGATTGCTGAGTTGCCCAAGTTTCCACTTGATCACCCACAATCTATTCGACAGGAATTGTCTTGATTCAGGGCGTAATCGCAGCAAAGGATGAATTCTTCAGTTCGATACCATGAACAAAATTTACACAGTTCATTGTCCCCAGTACTATGTAACGAATCATGATTTTTCTTACTTCAAAACAGTCAAGTGCCAGTCTTGCACTCGCTACTCTGGTGATGGGACTGAGGGAACGTGCTCTGACGCAACTGCTAAACAGATTCGACATCACTGATGAAGATCGCATCGATGGAAGAGGACCTGGTGCATTAGTCGATCGATTGGTTGGCTATTCAGCCGATCAGGTAAATCCATCCCAAAATTTTTTCATCCTGTCAGTGGTAGAGACATGTTACGTCATTTCTGGACATAAGAACACAATTGGAAGTTCACTTATCCTGTTTTCATCGTATGTAGAATTACGGTTTGTCAGAATTTATATTATTTCCACAACCACACTGGTGACACGTGGATTTGAGGTAGTCTGGGACATACTCATTACAACAAAATCAACTTTTCGACAGGTTCTTGTTGCTGTCGTTCCCAGTCACGCATACTTGCATAGGATCACACAGCGTTGCCTGCCTAAAGTATGCATTGCTTGTGTGCTTGATGAGCCAGCCTGATGTTATGCGTAAGCTCTCACCAAAACCAGAGAAATCACAAAACCCTCAATAAGTACCCATAATAAGGCCGACAGGTTTGGGGGCCAACTGCGCTGCTTGACTAGGAAGGAACGACAGGCGAGTCACCGACTGGCATAAGTGCTGTTGACGTCGGATATGACCACACACATACACCCTACTCAGGCATGTTCACCCGTTCAGTCGTGAAAATTCCGGAGTAGTAGTATATAGTAGTAATGTAGCGTTTGCTTTGTAAATCAAAAGATCGAAACTCAAAACTGGGTACATACTGCTGATGGGCTCTAACATTAGAACTGATCTACTGCTTCCTCCTTCGGGGTGGACCAGCCAGAATAAGTCTTCCAGGTTATGAAATCCCACAACCACTTGCAATTTTTGGATTATTTGGGGCCTGTCGTCTGTATAGTCCATTCCGGTGGGCAAGCTCACTGTACGGTTCTCACCAATCCGTCCCAAAACACGCTTAGACCAAACGAAGTATAGTCTCAGCCTTGTGAACCTCAGTAAGTCTCTTTTAGTGGCTGACTTTATAATAATTCACCTCGCCGATTGGAAATTCTACGGGCTTATGAATTATGTTGTCACACCCACCTCATTGAAGGCCTTATCTGACGAGGTGCAACTTGGCCGTATTCATTGTCTGGTGGTTTGAAGAGATTTTGAAATTTCGAAAGAGGTTTCAAGTTGCAACTGAAGTCGCATGAACCTTCCTTCTGAGAAGTCACCCAAGGAACCGGTCAACAAGTAGAATAATTCAGACGATTGAAGGATGAGTAAGGCTCATCCCGTGTAAGAGCGAATTAACCACATTGCTGACCGGCCAACCATAGCATTCAGCTACCAACTGTGGGATCGTGGATTCGAATCACCATGGAAGTTGATGAGGTGCACAGGGTTGATGGTTCCCAACAAGACGAAAGAAACAAATGCACAATGATCTGCAGCTTTCTAGCATAGGTTGACTATACTTGAAAACTGAAATCTTCATAGCACAGAAGCCAAAATAGGGCGGCGATCGCTTTTCAAGACTAGCTTCCGAATAGTCACACAAGTTTTTTGAGCTTCTGAAGTTGGTCACTGCCCAGTCGAGAATACGATATTTTATCTCCCCAGATAAATATGTGCATATGAATTCTCGGTCTAAGGTGCTCTAAAAAATTGGGTGTGAAACTAAAAGCTCGAATGGGAGTTATTCAGCTTAGCATGCAACCAGAATGTTCTCATTGGGACTGCAAGTACAACTTGCAGCAAACATTGCAAAAATTCGGTGCAGTTCACAACATATTCATATTAATAAAAAGACTCAGCCATGGGACATTAAAAATATTGCAGTACAGTTTCTGTGAGGTACAAAATTCACTAGTTATTTATATCGGCCTGGCAAGCTGCCTGTCCTTTAGACGGCCAGAAAGATTCTGCTGGTGCTCAGTATACATGCAAATATCCTTTCAAGTCTGAATTCCTGATGACTGCCTGCCCTGTAGAAGGCCAGAACGATTCTTTCTACACGGTAGCTACTCTGCTGGTGGTCAGTATACACGCAAATGTCCTTTCAAGTCTGAAAATTTTCCCCTTTCTCGGCTTTATTCACAAATCAGGCTCATAGTTCTGTGGAAAGAGCCTACAGAATCGCCATGCTGAGAATACGTACCATTCCTTCGAAAATTGTTGGCAAACGGCGTGAGTTTGACGCCTACGAGCTGCGGAAAGCAATGGCCGAAGATGTAGCCAAAGGACTTATTCCACTTGTGGTAAGTTCTAGTAATCCTGTGGGATCTCGTGAACTGCGAGGCTTCTGGTGCGCGTACTTTGTGAACACAGTTCGGTTGACCAGATCTAAGTCCTGCACCTTCCAAATGAACAGTCCAGTGGTAAGGTAGGATGAACACAGGTAGTTTGTTTATTCGGTTTTTGTGATATTCTGTTGTTCGGAAGCCTATTCAGATTTGTAAGCATATGAGTATGTGACATAGAACAGGAAATATTCTGGATTGGATAGAATTGTATTAGAGTATTCCCCATAAATTTGTTAGAAGCAGTTTATATAATCTTCCGGAATGATAATTCACCAACAAACTGTTCCTTACAGTGTGTCGCGACCATGGGAACCACGTCAACTTGTGAGTTTGACGATGTGAAGTCCATTGGACAAGTATGTAAGTCAACCGACATGTTATCGAATAACATGTTAAATAACGGAAAAATAACCATGGTTTCGGTATCGATAGGCCTCGAGCAAGGGTTGGGGTGTATGGGGTGTACAGGGAGGGGTAGCACCTCTGGTGGGTGGGCTTGTCGTGTCCCCATAGGGACAGCTCTCCCATCTTTGTCCCCACCTGGCACTCAGCTCTCACCTGTGGCTCCAAGAAGCTGATTTCAGATAACAGCGGCCACACCCCGGTAAACCGTCTCGACAGACGGGCTAAACCAGGTGAGGGTAGCCGGAGGGTGTGTTACCCCGGTGATTTAGGAATGTGCCTTTCCCACCCAAAGTATGTGAGCTCGTGATTCACGAAGGCTCCATTTATTTGCGACAGCTTTGTTGCCTCTACTTTGCTGTCACAGTGAGGGGCACAACCAGAATATTCATCTAATACGGGTTCCTGTCGCCAGGATGCAAGAAGTGGCTAATCACAGTTGCAAATTAGTACAAATGGCTCCTCTTGTCTGTCATGATATGACGAGTCATATCGTTTGTAGGTCAGAATCATGGGACACTCATACTGACAGGGCAAGGTCAGTTTCATATGGACGCTGCAAAGGTTAAGTTTGGGTCAGTCTAGGCGAACGTTCAGATACTAGAAGGCCAGGAATCCTACCGTTGCTTAAGTCATATAGGCATCCTCAAAAAGGGTACAGTGCCAACATCCGTCCACATCTCTGGAACACAGCGCGATTCGAAATCATTCAGTAATAAGCTCACGGAAGCACCGTGACTTATATGCAACGGCACATGTCTGATACAAAAAGAAATAGATAATCAGCTTAATTAATCAATCAACTAACTACCGAGTTGTCACGTCAGTTTCAACTTTGCATCAAAAAGCGTATTAGTTAGCCGTTTTGAACTTTAAAGATATTTTTTATGTGTTTAAGTGGTCTGTTGCGTCTACCGTATCATTACGAAGTTCTGAAACTATTTTGAACTCATTGTATTGGATTAAAAAACAATTACAAACCAGATATGAACTACTTGACGTGCCAAGATGAAAAAATTAACCTCCTCTGTGTCGCCCTGGTCAGCGAGCCGAATTTCCACCAAACCTGCCCTCGCGGTGCCGCCGCAAATCGGCCGTCCAGCCCTGCTGAGCACAGTGCGATCTCAAAGCCACTCGATCTAATATTTAAAAAAGAGACCGTATTCGACTCCACAATGCGTTTTTTCAAAACCTAAATCTAAGTCTCATCACTCATCTACGATGGGAGGGACTAAGATCGAATCACTTCTAACCATGGAACTGAGTGCAACAAACGATTGCAATCGTCACTCAAAAAATCAGTTAATTCTGTACAGCAGTGGACAATATGTCATCGTCTTCAACTCACCACATGAGAAAAATTGCTGTAATCAGTTGGAATGACTTGCCACCGCACTGGCGGGAGAAATCGCAAGCAGCTATTCATCCGACCTGGACGGAATTGGCAAATAAATGATTTGTCGCGGCACAATATATCACAGCTTGCGGAACCTGCGACACATGAAGAATTTCACATTTATCAATGTCTTCTAGAGAACCTTCCGCCTTTTTTCGTCCCATGAAGTTCACCCAAATCACGTCTTCAAACCACTTAAAATTTCGTTGGTGAGTCTGGTTGAAGATTGTTACCTTTTATACTTTACTCACACATGTTTCATTTTGCTCCTCCTCAACAGTTATCCACATTCTTCGGTTTTCCGCTGAGTTAATAACCTAGACTGAGTAAAGTTCAAAAACACGATTCGATAAACTCTTCCATCGATAAAACATCAAGGAAGCAAGGAATCAATGGTTGGAGAAAATTTTGATGAGTACGTTTCCGTCTTGACTAGAGTTGCACAAGCAATCTACTCCTGACAGGGCACAGACTGCAAAACACTTTCTAAGTGAGGATATTTTTAAGATGTAAACATGCGTTTTATCCAACAGTCGAATTTAGGCTGTGCCATAAAGCTTACATCGGAATGGCTTAGCTTACAAACGGTCAAGAGCAGCTGCGAATTTCAGGGGCCTGCACGTGACTGAGTGTGAGTTTCCTTGATAGCTTGGTCATTTCCGGTAAGGAGAAAGTTAGTGATGCGTGTCCGTCCCTAGGCCCTTCTTCGTTCATGCTGCGTGAACTCCAATTTCTCGCTTCAACACCATACAAGCCATTTGGGGGGTTCGAGCGCACAACTTCCTGTCTGGTAGCTTAACAGCCAGTTGAGCGGTGAGATATATCGCTCGGTCACGGTGGGATCATGTAATCTCAAGCTGACTAGCTAATAGAGTGACGATTTTTCAGGCAGAAGAGCCATACTGCCTGTGAGTGTTTTTCTTCTCTAATAAACTGACTAGTTTCTGGTTTCAGCCATTCTGTGCCTCGTTTACACCGGATATTGAGGACTAATGAGCCACTAGAGCTAGCCTTCGTTCCGGTTCAACTTGGAACATACGGATTTTCAAAAGCAATGTAAACTACGGTCTACCGAGGTCTTTATGAGCCGTGCTGAGTCCTGAGTGAAGGCTCAGCCACTCCAAACAATACCCCTCATGAACTACACTCAACGTGCGTGATGCACCAGAATAAGTCAGTGATCATTGGAGTTCACAGTCAATTTGCCTTAGGTTTTGACTGGCTGTCTCTACTGTACGCTGCACAGAGCGAAGGTTACATCAAACGGACTTAATCATGTGACTCCATCATTGTCACCGTTGAACAGACAGAAATCATATGCGCGCACAGGAAATGCTGAACAAGTAAAAGATACAATACAAAGAAGTCTGCTTGGTTGAGACTTCCAGTCCCGCTGGACACAGGATAAAACAAACGACTTTTTTAAGCTTTGCACAACACTACGGACAAAGAGGACTTCAAAGGAGCAAATACCCCGCTCTTTCGCATGTGCCAGTCAGTCATGAGTAGTAAGTGCTCCGAGGTCATTGGCATCCGGAGAAAGTCCTCTTGACCAGTCAGAATGTAGGTCAAGCATGGTCAAATCAGACAAAGTTCTTCTTGTCGAATCAAGAATAGAAGAAAATGGCATTTTGCGGTGATAAAATATGCAACCTGGGTGGTCCGAATGTCCCGGTTTTCCAATCATCACCACATAATAAAAGAAAGGAGATACACATGAGCCTAAATCATAATGGGGAAACTTTATCTGAGTGAGATTTGACGTTGGTGGTTAGACCAGACAGAAAATATGACCACTTCCCAGATTAGGAGGTGTAATGTCCAGTTAACGCAACCGATATTTTTTCTCCCAGCAATTTGTTTTTTGGACATCCTTTACATAGGTGTAGTTATAAGCCCTTCCAGAAGCACATAAAGCATAATGGAAGGGTCTCCATATGGCTGAAACAGACTCTTCAGTACGATGGATTCATTAGAGAGCGGAATCTTGGATCCATGGTGAAATTCCAGGACGACCTTTCTGTAATCTTCCTAGAAAATTACACCAAAAGTGATAGGGGCTGTATTAGCTGAAAGGTGCTGGTTGTTTTCATGGTTTGGACTGGCTTTCACAGCATTTCGCTGCCGTCCAACAAGTAACACCATATTTTCGAATCATTGAAAAATCTCTTGAATCTTACGGTTCGAGCAAGAGCGGAGAGAATGGGGAAAACCAGATGTTACGTGTAATTTATACGCGTTCAACAAATTAGTTTGTCCTACCATGTCACATGGCACAAGGGTCTGGGACCAAGTATGGTCCTTTAAATTAACATGTTGATAGGCAAATCGATAAATACCGATACCAGCCGGCAAGGGAATTCTATTTCTTGATATTGAAGCTTGAATTTTCAATACCTACCAGCTGGAAATGTTTCGTGGAACGTTAGTAACAATAAGTTCGGTTGTGCTGAGCAGGAAATTACACTGAAAAGAAGACATATGAATCCGCTTCACCGAATCTTATCCGGCCTCTGTGTGCTGCGTTGGTCAGTGGTGTAACGTAGTAGTTGTCAATGATTGTATTTCTATTGAGTGCACATATTGATTTATGACAACTGCACTGGAAAATTCAGTTTCGGTGAAAACGTTTTGTATTGAGACGGTTGGCTGGCCGTCTTTGAAGAGTAATCGAAATCGATGCACATCCTCTCGGCACGTGTTTGTTACCGGTATGGAGTCCGAATCGTTGACACTGCGGTTTGTGTAATGGAACATGTGAACGATAGCTCCATGTTCAGCTGACTAATATCAACAAAGGCCAAAGAGTTCATATACTAAACCTGCTTGCTCATAAAAGCTAAGGTGCAAAGCAAGGTAGCCGGATAAAAATAACAAAGACCTTTTTGGTTACACACAGTTAGCTCTGGGCTTACAGCTACACAACATTCCTTCATCTTGTGTGTGATCTGTGTAGCAGCTCTGTGTGTACGTTGCTGGATTTCAGTCAAATCTCTTCAAGTCACTTCCCAATCCCTCTACTGCAGCTTGAAAATCAGTCCTTGCTTCTCCAACCAGGAAGTCCCACAGACGACCTCAAACATAGCTAGTCCGGGAATCATCTGAATCAGCTACAGCGTCTTTGCAACACAACCACCATCAAAGCATTATCTGGAGAATAACTACTCGTTTAGCAAAATGGCCTGACTGGTCTGCGGGGGAGATATTTCCTCTCTATGTAGGGCTTTCAGCTGCAGCTCCGCTTGATATTACCAACCTCATGTTCAACAAAACTTCATTGAACTAGCTGCGTTAAACCACAGCTCAGTTACTTAAGCGATTCCCATGAATCGCAAAAGGGAGAATGGTCAAAACCAACGATGTGGCAAACACAGCTGATCATGTCGTCAAACCCAAAAGTCATAACTTCGGTATGACTATTGTGGTTTTCACTGAATCGACCTCACTGATTCTCATCAACATTTCTATTCTGGTCCCCTATAGACGTTGGTCTTCCAAATAGGTACACGGGCTTTGCTAACCAGAGCAAGCCGTCTGTGAGTTGATACCTCGAAATAAGTATGTAAGCATTCTTTCTACCATAAAACGATCTGTTTATTTCCTAATCTAGGTCAAGAATTCAACGCATGGTTCCATCTGGATGCTGCATATGCTGGCAACGGTCTTATATGTCCGGAGTTCCGCGATCTGGCCAGAGGCGTAGAGGTGAGCAGCAAGTAACCATGTTATAGCCCTTACATACATATTCTCTTTACCACTTCTTTGTCATTGGTGTAAAACTTCGATGATGTCTACAAATTATAAGTACCTATCGGGTTCCTTCACTCATTACCTGCTTTTGTTTAATATCACGGCAGCTGGCTGACTCCGTTTGTGTAAATCCCGACAAGCTGCTGCTGGTGAATTTCGACTGCACCATTCTCTGGACATCCGATCAATGTGTCCTAACCGAAGCCTTCAAAGCGGACCCAACCTATCTACTTCACGATTTCAACGGAATGCCGGACTACCGCGTGAGTGACTTTTCTTGACCTATTTTACCACGTGTCAGAGTCGTTTTGCGCGGAATGTGATAATAAACGGTGCCATTTGTAGCGTTTTGGCCATTTCACCGTTGAACTATTGCAATAGGAAAAAACATCAGCCCTACCGTACATCTTACGAGTTCTGAACGAAAAGACACAGTACTGGAAACGCTTTCAAAGCACGGCAGCATAATTCACTTGCATTAGTAGATATCGGTCTTAGTTGACACAACTCTGGAATCAGCCTAACTATAATGAACTTGAACGATGGTGAAAAAAACCTTCGGCGATGTCTAAGAAAAGGTTGGTGTCCAGTGGGCAAGGTCAGGTGAGTTCAAGAGACCCAATTTTTGAAGGTCTCTGTGATGAACTTGAACGTTGGTGAACAAAACCTTCGGCGATGTCTAAGAAAAGACTGGTGTCCAGTGAGCAAGGTCAGGTGAGCTCAAGAGACCCAATTTTTGAAGGTCTCTGTATTGAAGACTTATTCAAGTCACATTCATTCTATTTTCACACCGTCTTATCATTTCTTGACGTTGACTGAAACGACGCAACTCACTCAGTGTCCGATCCAGCACCGCTCCTATTGGCTTCATATTCGGCCGTACCTTAACAATCGCGTTAGACTTCCCAATAGGTTAGTGTGAACCAACCGCAATGGATGAGACCTGTTGCAAAGACAAAGTTGCGTAGCTTAAACAAAATATGACTGCTCCGAACGTAGCTTTATTTTGATCCCAAATTCGATGATTTTATCAACTTCACTTTTGTATTCATGAGAAATAATTGGAACTTTGCACTAATGTATTATGGTCAGCAACAAACAATCTAGAGGAACATCGCTTCCGAGTGTTAGCTTCCCGTCGGGTGAACTAAATTCGACTCCTCGTATTATTCCAAGGTATTTTTTGTTCCCAACTTATTTGGTTGGACTGCGATCAATCCTTACAAAACCGCTGTGTTCTTTGTATCAGGACTGGAGCATTTCACTTTCACGTCGTTTCCGCGCCCTGAAACTCTGGTTCGTTATCCGCATGTACGGAATGAAAAAGCTCCGCGAATATATCCGCCACGTAAGCAAATTGTTTCTCTGCTCTCTTATTATGTATTTTTCAGGTTGAAAAAACGAATGACAGTTGTTTGTTTTTTTGTCGAGCTAAACTTTTGACTCATGGCTTGAGGGTAGTGAGAAGATCATGATCTTGGAACAGATTTCAACTTCCGTATGCGGAGAAGCTGAGAATCATGCTACAGCTGTATCGTCCTTGTTGTAAACGCACCTCAAAAATTTCTAGATAGACGTGAACCCGCGACTTCATGGCCAGTGGCTGGGCGACAGGTGGCTAGTCAGCTGTGAGAATAACTCTCGCTCTGGTAGGATGTAGCGTTACCAGAATTTAGGCAAACAGTTTGCTTCACGTGGTCTAAAGTTGACTGGTTCCGACTTCTCAGATAGAAAGGCCCATGCAACTACTTAGATTTTTCTTCATGGAATGGACTATTGTACCATGATTGCATATTTTTTCTTATCTTATTCAGCGAAAGAATTGAAGTAGCGCATTTCTAGTAGGTTACACCTGCTTGATGATTCGGCTCATCAAATCACCGAGAGCTTGCCTGACAAATAGTTACACACCCATAAACACATACCTGCTATTCGGTATGAACAGTTGTAAGCATTAAGGTCGATTTTCGTGGAGTGAAAAGAGCAGTACCAATGGAAACATCACCGAACAGTTTCCCTTCTTATCTCTTTGATTACCTGCCGTTTATTCAAGAAATTCTCATTCATCCATACAGCACGTCAACCTGGCTGCCGAATTCGAAATGCAGTTATTGAGAGACGACCGATTTGAAGTTGTGAACGACGTTCGGTTTGGTCTGGTCTGCTTCAGGCTCAAAGTGAGTTCGTTCGTCTATGAAAAGTCTATATTTTTCACCCTCACTGGTTCAAACTTTGCCATCTATCTGGTTATATCAGGTCGGAACAAGATAGCAAGCACGGACCTACTGCTGATTTGGAGTAGAACCTCCCCACTTGCGACTTTGCCCTTATTTTCTATGTACTAACAACCAATGTATCTCTTACTCTTAAGCAACTACTCTTAACAGCACCAAAGCCCATCCACCGTATCTCCAGTTCCCTAGACAAGTATCCCAGACACAAGCTGGTGCAGTATAGAACCTCTGTAGATCACGTTTCAGAAGATGAGCGCATATCGTTGAAATGTGTTCATCTTCACTAGAATCTCTGGCACTTAGAATATCACGTCACTTCCTTCTGAGCTACTTATGCGTTGCTAGTGGCATAATCGAATTTGGAAGTTTTAATGGAGGTTTCCTCCCCAGATGAAAGCTTGTTTCCTATGTTTGTTTGCTGAATTCAAACTTGAACGTTTTTCCTACTTTCCAGGCGGGTAGACAGGAGACGGGAAGACTAAACAAACTGTTGCTTCAAGAAAGATCCCTATTCTTGAGCGCGGGGTCAGCCAGAGATTTAATCAATCCGGACGAAGAACAATACTTTCTCCGTTTTGTTTCCTCTCCACATACCACCATTCGAGATGTCCAGTTTGCTTGCGAAACTCTATCCAGCCTTGCAGATAAACTACTTGGAGATGTGGGGTGCGCAGAGCAGTGACTGACAAACACTGAACATGCGTCCATCTGACTATCACCTACCCCGCCTGCATTGATTTGGATGGTTCTTAGTTCAGCGCCTCCGGTAGATGCCAGGCGGAAAATGTTCCCCACAAAAACGTTTCTGTTCATCATTCCAATTTGCGTTATAATTTTTTATCTAAATGTCTCTTGTGTTTGATCTCCACTCTGCTAATTTAGTCGGGTTCCAGGTTTTGTCGGACATCTGATATTATAACGCAGGGATTTGTCGATTTGTCGCAGGGATTTGTTTTACTTAGTGCAGAGAGTTGAGTTGTCAACCTCATTCGAAAATCTCTGCCAAAAAAGTCCAAATGGGCCTACCTGACTACCCTATAGTTGTCCGTATTCTGAGATAATCCTCAAAAACTGATTCAACGGACGGTTTGTGTAGACCATTTGGTTCGATATTTTTAATGCTGTAGGTTGATAGTCAAATGAAACTAGCAAAAAGGATGGGTTGCAAAGAATTTGATAGGTCTTGGGTCGGAGCTTACTTTTATGAGTAGTCTTGCTAACGAACAGTCTAATCCTGCTACGTCTGACAAATTTTCATTTGCTTTGAAAATTCTGGAATGAACGTGACACTCTGAACCGCGGGACCCCTTACAAGTGCACTATCTTCTAATCCCTGCGTGAAACGGGATGATGCCATGCATCCTTTCACTCAATCTAGGACGTGCAAATATTTGATTGTTTTTTACTCAGTATGAACAAACCACATTGTGAATGCGCTCGAGACATTTCGCAGGCCGGCCAAAGCTAAATACAACAATCAAGATATGCGGCCTACTGTGTTATCCACACTTCCCGCTGAATACTGTGGATTTCTGGCACTCAAGGTTCTCCATATACAAACAACCAACATCTTATTACCTTACAGCTGACTACAGAGGTATTCATCTCTCTAACGACCAGCCGCTCCACATTTGTGGTTCCTGGTTCCAGAGTGACCGGTTATTAAGCGTACTACTCGATCCTCTTTGGCAGGTCTGCTGTGAGCTGTTCCGGCCCGGCCGTTGGAACCTTTGTTATAACCCGTCCTATTTGGCCAGTAGATCGGCCATTATTTCCAAACTGACTGGGTCCCAAACCCCAGTGGGACACTGTCATTCGACAGCAAATGTTGAAGCCACCCTCCATTCAAAACTGGAAATGCAAATCCATTAATGAAAATTTTCCAGAACGATAACGAGTCACCATCTGCTACAAATGTGTCCATTCTGAACCACCTGATAGCCTTCTGGTGAGTTATCGGTGATCCGAGGGCGCCTTTCATAGCAGGTCAATCCCGCTTCGGGAGTCAACATCTAGGACCACCTTTACATGACCGTAGATAAGGTCTTCAATACCACCAACAAGCCAATGGCGGCCTTCGCTTCATAGTCCCTGTCATGTCCCCAGCCTCCCCACCCACCCAAAAAGTCCTAACGTTCCCACCTTCCACGAGCTCCCATCTTATTCTGGTGAATTCATGAAATTCAGGAATAAAAATCATTGGAGGTAAGATGACTTCTTGTGAAACAGCACAAAATGGCGCGAGAAAACGGGTCTGGAAGAGAGGAACGCATCTGTCCAGGGTTACGTGAGCCTGATGTACGTGAGAGTTCCTTTGAAGTCTCCTGGCAATATCCCGAATGTGAGCCAAAAGTCGATTAGATCCAGCTCGATGGTCAGCTCGCGGCGGGGGTGATGCTTTGAACAGCAAACAGACACTATTGACAACTTCTAACAGTAGTATATATCATCCTTGTAATGTAAAGGGGAAGTGCATCAATATACTAACTGACGGCCCAAATTAACTCAAAGGCTTCCTCCGTACGGCATTCTCGGTCAAAAAATTACATCCGAGAGCCTTATCTGCCTGGACCTCAGTTTGACACTAGCGTAGTGTGAGGTTCAATCCTTTCTTCAACCTATAATCGGTCTGCTGCTCCAGCATAAGCGGAACTTGAGTGAAATCTCGGGGAATACATTCGCTTGATGAAACCAAAGCAATGCGAAACTGACAGCAGGTTGTCGGCGGATTTCGATCAACCTCTCTATTCTAGTTAGCAAACAACAAGGGTGCCTATTAAATCGCAACGTAAGCTACAGTATCCCCGCAAAAAATGTTGAACAATAATGGGTGGGGGTGGAAATCCCAGCCCGACCAAAGTTCACAGCAACCATCTTACACAACTCTCTTAGCACTGGCTCACCCACATAGACTGACAGAAGATTCAAACGAAGTTCAAGAGGAACCATCAAATGAACCGAACCAGAAGAACTAGACCCTAGCCTGGACCCAAACGCATGTAGGTTTCCCCACCGACCCAACACTTGTTCAACCACTCCAACACAGTAAAATCCCTTGGCCGACAACCAGCAGAGATTTAGCGTGACTTAGCTTATTGGTTCTCCTTACGCCTTAAATCTCCACCAACCTCGGAACTTGGTCACTTGGCCTGACGAAGCTTTTGTGTCAAAAGCGAAACGTTGCCCAGCAATAAATCTACCGATTGTCGCCGAACTTTTTCAAAAATAACGCAACCTACTGGTTAATGTACAACATCTGAGAATGTCATCACTAGGTTTGGGTAGTTGCCGAAAGCCGGTCATTTTAAAGGGTTTCAAACCAAAAACCCGGAAGGTCGAATCACATCTCTCAGTGTTCACTATATATAAATCATCGTGTATAGATACACAGTAGTCACACGTCAGAGATCCTTTGGTAGAATTTGTTTATAGCCTGAATCCCTTCCGTTCACAAATTGCGCCTCGTGGAAGTGGAAGATAATCCAAGAACAGTACTGCCTAAAATCCAATGATTACTCTTCTTCGTCTACATTCTTGATGAGCTCATGGATTTCAAAGGCAAAATTGAGAAATGGCAAGCAAATGAAATTAGCGACCGATAAACCAGTTTCGGATTTAGAAGCTTATTCTTCAGCCGCGTAATACGCTAAGTACGCAGAACTTGCCGAATCATTGAGGGTTTCATAAACTGAACGCATGAACATTCTTATAGAGGAGCAGCTACTCACTGAGTTTGCTTTGGAAACTCACGTATCAAAGATACTTACCTCTATGAGAAGATGCTTAATGGTTCCAGTTATATCCGGTGTTCCCACACCAAGGCGCTTCTGGTGAGATAAAATCTGATTTATATGACGGAGTAAATCGAGTAACAATCTGGTTTTGACATTCAGCGTATGAAATCTCAAAGTACGTCTCCCGCGATTAGCTCAAACTTATGGTGGAAATTCTGTTGGTTTTGGTTGCACGGAGTACGGATGTTCCAGTCCTTTGTTTCCAACAAACGGAAAAGTAATCCCAAGTTCGTGTTTTTCTTACTGTACCTCAACAGCGGTGTGTAGTTTACGAGTCCGTCATTAGTGGTAATAAAATGTCACACAGTGATGAATCCGTCATGGTATGAACGGACCGAGAAGTCATGATGAATGAGACATCAAACCTCATTACCAGAGTTGTTACTGGATTACCCTTGGAGCCATAAGCCATCACTTAATCTCTAATATCTTCGCCTGTTGACATGCTATAAAACAGGTGTGCTCGATTTGTACCTATGACCCGGTTACATCGCATCCCACCGGTCGGTTGAATTTGTATATAGACGAATGCATGCACCGCGGATTAGACCTCATAGAAGCAATATTCAGGTTTAGTTCCTCCAGTTTGATAACGACTAACTAACTAACCGAGATAGGATTTGGACTGTTCGGACAACGTTAATGTGGACATAAACTGAACGAGTCGTCAAAGAACTTAAACCTGTACCTTGGATTACAGCACAAACAGTCAACAGTGGAGCTCCCCTAACATGAAAAAAACTGTGGGTAAACTAACAGTAAACGGGACTGATGGCGTCGGTAACCCCCGGACAGTGGTTTTCCAAATTCGGTTATTGATCGGCTACTAATATTTTATGAGTAGTTAGGTTTTATACGTATTTCGGCTGTCCAAAGCCCGAACAGCCCATCTGAAAACAGCCACGTTGTGGAGCTGTTTGATCGTTGTAGTGATGGGAAAGAGNCGCCCCAAATTGACCCATAAAAAGATTTTCCACCATTTATATAGATCATTCCTACTGTTAACTATGCAAGTGGCCTATATGTTTAAAACCCTATTTTACCTTAATGTTGCTTGAATAACACCGACAAGAAATCTTTAAGCGAATATCACGCTAAGGTTAAAGTTGTTCCTTGGATCAGATTATCCATCCTTCGGAGGGTTTCGCTGACACTCATCGAAAGTAACGAACTAATCTATCTCACTGCTGCATGGCACGGTGAAACTCAATGATCATAGATTATTTTACTAAAGATAGTTGTTTGAATTATGCTGAGTTATAACATTTAATGATAATAAAAAACGGCTGTTGAATACAACCATTTTCTTGCTAAAATTACTTGAACCGAAATAAGCGTTGGTGATGTCAACTAGGCTGATCATTAGAGTGGTCCTGATGGTTATTAATATTATTATTTCTACTGCTATTATTGCTGTTATTATTATGATCATTAATTAGTACAGGCTACTCCTAACATCCTGCCAAGAAAGTACCGTTAAGTTTGATGGATGTTTACGCATCTGACGCAGATTGCTCAAGACTGGTTCACTTGATTCACAGCCACAATGTCGGGACAGGCTCCTTTTAGAGTTGGGATTCTGGCTCCTCCCTCCGAAGTGACTGCCATCTGGCCCGTGGTTTACCCAAAAGTAACTCTTGCAAGCACTTCAGGTGATATGGTCATTGAGTTATACCAGTGGCATCCCGCTCACTTTAGTAAATCCATGATTAGTGTATTGTGGTTCTTGAAGACGAGTCCGTGCCGGCGAGCACCTGGTTTACAGTCCATCGTAAGACTGAGTCCTTCATTTCACTAACCAGAGGACATACTGAATTCTGGTCTATTTGATTGTATCTCGTGTGACTGATATTCACCTATCCAATACTGTAAGACTGGACGGTTGTGTAAAGTGTTTTGACGCATGTAATGTCCCGCAAAACAGTGATCTATGTAGCAGAAGGTTGAATCAGCCTTTGAACTGTGAGACACTATCTTAAAATCCAGACACAATCCTATGTTAGGGCTGGTTAACCCAAATCCGGTGACCACTGGTCCTACATTCCACCAGCGCAATTCATTGTCCGACCTGCAGTGTGGGAGACATTCTTTCGTGAAGATGAAAGCTCAGTCAATGCACGTTTGTTCAACGGTACCATCATCTTGGACCGGCCATCGAATGTTTCGGTCTAGGCTTTAGTGGCTTTATAGACTAAGGGCATGCCACCACAGATAGGTTCCCGCGATGATACTTAGAGTTACCATATACAACGAATAACTAGACCGTTCCGTACTGTGGTTCAGTATTAGACAAGTAAGTCATCTAGAATGACCAAAATGTATTATCTGATGACATTTCCACTAATTTCCGCATTTGCCGTGACCAGCTGAGAATGAAGAAATTAGTCTGCCATATAAATACGGTACCCTAATACTCGACCTTCACTTGCCTCAGACAACCTTATGGCCAATATGGAGCAAAGTTTGCTGCAAAACCTCTCCGTTAGAGTATACAACTTACGGGGTAGGTAGCAAAAGAATGACGCATTTACAAATGCCCCTGTGATGATCATCTTCCAGAAAACCTTTGGTCATTTGGGCTATGATGATCTCAACTCCTTCACCGTTTTTATAAATAGATTCATCAAACGATACGAAATTTTAGGGGGACTTGAAAAACGAAAGTCGCGAATGCCCAAACGACTGATACAACCGTAAGAGTAATCACGTAGTCTTAGCCGAGGCCAAAGTTCCTCCAGGACTACCTGCCCACCATAGTGTCCAATTATCTGTGAAGTGTATGCAACAATGCCTATGACCAACAGGCCATCGTTCACAGTAAGTGTCCAGTTAGACTGGAATATCAGTCCTTTGGCCTAAGCATGCATAATGCAAACCAAAAGGTGGAGTCCTTAGCCAGAACTCGAACCCAAGGTCTTTCGCTTGATTCAGTCAACCGCGTGTTCAACTGCCTGATTATAGGGGGTTAAGACGCTCCACTATTGACGACCTTCAGATATCGGAATCAGAATACAAAGATGCTTCGGGGAGGATTTTCGCAGTTATCGGAGTTAGTGTCTCATGCAGTGTGATGTGAAGCCTGATAAGCAAATGGATCAAAACCTTTATCCGATTCTGACCACAAACTCAGAGGTTTAGCAGCGTTCTGTTAAACAGTATGTTGAAGAGAAAACCAAGGCATAGTTACGTCACTGGGGTGAAGAAGATTAAGCCCAAGAGTCACGATGATAAATAGCTTGCATCATTTGAACGATAGGGAGTGAATTTGAGAACGCAACAAATTACAATGAGAGCACGTTATATCATGGGTAGCAGGTGGATTCAATTTACAATGAAAATAAATCAATTTTATGACAGTTTTCAGGGGTCTGCCTTTCTTCAGAATGCAGTGCTAACTGTATCAAACCTTCCATGAATCCATTCTGCCGTAGTTGAGGCGCTCATTCTTCCCGCAACTTTCAGTATTTCACCCTTCTACTGCTGGAAGATGTACGGAATGACTCAACTGAGTTCACTGGTTATTCTGACAAGAATCGGGCAGTGTGCTTCCGGGGACAATTTATTCCTTTGATCCAACCCTTGACTGTCTCATGATCTAGTTGATCCTGTACAATATTTTGTTGAAATCCATATAGATCCATATATATAACTTATAGGGTTAGTCTCTAAATTGATTCCGCATGAAAGGCGGATTGTTTCACTTGCATGGAGACCCACTCGTCAGAGGTAATCAGGTACTGCATTTGTGTGCACTTAGTGAGGTTAAGGGTTGGGACAATGGTTGTACTTTGCCAGACTGCATGTGTACCGTCACGAACAGACTGGACCTTACCGTGGTGTGGCGGTTTCTGTACCTCGGCGACCCACTGAGCTATACTGGGGAGTGTCCTCGTGACCAGGTTGATCCACAGGGTAGAGTCTGACGAACACAGTCTCCTGGCCCTCCAGGTTGGGGGTTGGAACACGTATGGCGACGTGTTCCATAAAAAATGGTAATGTACTTGCCGAACACCGCNTGTGGTCGCCTGGTAGTACCCCATCTCTCGTACAATCATGACATATACAACTAACAATTGACTGCATGTATAAATTATAAGCGCACACTCACTCTATCTGTCACCAACCAGCAGGCTTTTTCAGCTGTGATTTATTCTGATACTAAGATCTCAGTCAAACGCCATACTTGGTCGAGTCACGAAAAATGTCGACAGAGTGGGTTGTTTCGTCAACCTTACGGCTCTATACTAATTAATATCTTCGCGGAAAATTTCTGCTTAATGGATAAGGACTGCTCGTAAAATAGCAGTTTCCAAATTGGCTCCTTGAGGCTTCCACGTTGGGCAAGGCTCAAACAACGCCAAAAGGGGTGTAAGTTTCCAGTGGCTCAATCGTCTAAACCTGCATGAAAAACTGGCTTCCTTGTTGGTCCTCCAGTGAATCACGCTGTGCGCAGTACAGCCGAAAGCGCTGCCAAAACGTTCATGCTTTTTTTAAAAAACATCTCTACAAATTATTGAAGTAATTCAAACGCATTCTTGAAGTAGTTCAACAGAAATCTTAAGATTGCTCTTCTTCTGGCAGTGTTCGAACACTTCTTAGGACGTCTAAATTCGACGTCGGATTCTTTTTACTTTAGTCGAAACACTAATAGTTCCATCATGTTCTTCTGAGAATCTCATCGGGATACCACTTAAAAAAAAGCCAGACTGAAGCTGAACACGAAAAGACATGAAACATTTGAGGAAAGTACCTCTTTCCCCAACAACCTATTTCTTCTCGAATCGCATCATAACTTCCCACCTAGCAAGGGAGCGTCGACTGTATAGGACTTTTGCCCTACACAGGAACACGTTTAGCAGAGGCGGCAAGGAACTTCGCGATCAATAGGAAAATTCCAACATGCAACTAACCCTGTCTACTTCCCACAGATCAACCGCTAAAGTCGGAACACAACAAACCCGTGAGTTCTCTTCCTGGATAATACCATGCACATACATGGTGTTTGAAGAACAAGATGAAATCGGTGTTGCAAGCAGAAATGATCTGCTTATTTGGAAACAATGTTCTGCTGACCTCCGGTATTTAGATCATAGTTATTGCCTCTGTTTTTTTCTGAAGGATAATTTTCTTTGAAAACAAAGTCACTGTACAATGAGGTGCCATTCGGATGGTCCGGTAAGTCAGACACGGGCGGGAAAAAAGGACAAAACATGGCCTAACGTAGTTGGTCCTCCGGACGTTCGGTTTTAATAAACTGTTCAGTAGGATGGCGGCTAATAACCATTGGAACTGGATTCCCACAGGCACGCGCCACTTGAGTGTTGGTTTCTTGGTGAGGAACCATTGTATTCAAAAGGTTAAACCACGAGGTCAGCATTTCCACAGGTACGGGCATCCACACGCATTGGTTATTTTTGTCGGTTGCGTGAGGACGAAAGTCTAGATTTATGGGTATGTCACCCGCCAAATTCGGGTTTGAAGGTCCCGGCGCAGAGGAGATTGTATTGAAACTTTGTGGGGGGAGCTTAACGCTGTTCGGATCGCACATATTCGGATGGGGATAGTGATTTGTTGTTCGCAAACTGGGACAAGTTGATTGCAAACGGTTTAATCGACAAAGTTGTTCACTAAGACGTTGCATGTTAATCGTGTGTCTTTGATGGTGGAGTTGGCTGGGGGAGGATTCCGAAGGAGTACTTGCTTGCTGAGTTGTTCGATTCCGATGTTCGGAATCACTTGCACAAGAAGAATATATCCCAATGTTTGGTTCCGCGAGCGGTGGCGACGGATGGGATACTGCCTGCCTCGAACTCCCATTTGAATTATCGTGGCAACTGCAATGACAGTGTGGTGTCGGTGAGCGTTGTTCAGTGTGTTGATCGATCATATTTTTGGCCGAAACGGTTAAACTGCCTGTAGTTAAATGGGACGTTGTCATTAGAGGATGCTGAGTGCTGGTTGGAAGAAGACCCGTTCCTGGGTAGTATACTGACGCATTCAAATTCAACGGTGGATGAAACACTTCAGATTCATTCAAAGTTTGTTGTGGTAACGCATTACAGGAGTGCGTCATACCTACAGCGGCTGTTTGAGATGTGTGGCTATCCACTTGATTGCACACGTTTGGAACAGGTGCATTCACGTTCAAACTAGACATTGGAGGATGTGATTGTTTTGCTGATGGCTGGAGGGATGGTGGCACGCTCCATGCGTCAGAGCATTGTGGAAATGGATCACCGGGAGAGCTGACCGACTGTTCCAGGGAAGATAGAGAGGGAAACAATGATGACAGCGACGCGAAAGTAGATAGTAGACTTGAAAATTTATTGAGCTGTTCCTGTGAAAACTGCTCTTGTGTGGACATTTGATTAGGTTTGTAGAAGCACGTTTGTAGACCAGATTTTAATGAAATGGATTCGATCAAACAGCCTGAGCCGGGAGAACCGAGTGAAAGTGAACCTCGATGATTCGATTCCGGCACGTTGTAGTTTGTGGAGCTCATCGATTCATCCGTACTTGATTCCTCCGCGAAGCTCTCCAGGTCTACATCCATCACCTTGGCAGGTATTACTTTCTTCGTGGACAGAACATTTATTTGTTGTTTGTGGTCCGCCACGATTAGATTTTCTCCGTGCTCCTCTTCCTCTGCAGAAACATTCGCCGTCCCGGGTACAGCTGTTTTGATGTTGATCTGATCGTTTGTTATCGTCATGGACTGTCGACCACCCGAAATTTTACCCCAATCACCAGGCGGCAAAGTCACCTCCTGGCCGTTCTGTTCACAAAACTTGATGAGATTGCGCAAACCAATAAATTGATACACAAATTTATGACCATGAACTTTTCTAATAATGTTCTTTTCGTAGTAATATCGTAGAGCTCGACTCAGCTTGTCATAATTCATCCTGTGATTTCTATCCTTGCGCATACCCCAAAGCTTTGCAACGCCTTCAGCTTGTAGGAGAACAAATTCACCTTTTCTGTTTGTCCATCGAATGAAGTCGGTGTACCTGTTCGAGAGCAAAAGCTCCAGGAGAAATTGCCAAAGAGTCAGCTTGCCATTGGTAACACCAACCTCGGACAGCTGAAACGAATAAAAAAAGTCTTATGTGAGGTTGCTTTTGGCAAGACACTTCATCATTATCAGTAGCATGGCTAGGGTTGGAAAGTTAATGGTGAATTACGAAAAGTGACTCCTCATACTTGACTATCGTCAAATATCATACTCATCTTTTGGATACACGAGGTTTTGTACTCAACAGCTTTTTCTGTTTAGGTTGTTGGCTGAGAATCAGGATCACCCACAATATGTCGAGAATGAAGTTCTTCCTGGCACCGACAACAAAAAAAAACACTTTCTCACCAAATAACGGGCGGATAACTCTACGAGGCAGCAACTCTGTTTCATGTTTGCACAACCTTCCAATATTTTGAGTTAGAAACAAGATGTGACGTTAGATGGCACGTAACAAGTATCAAATATCCTTCGCATCAAGTAGACTCTGGCTGTCAGCAGTAAAATGTAACCACAGACAGGCATCAATGTGATTCAACTTGGTCTATGGCCCGAATTCTCACTGTACTAGCTAACCAGAAGAGCTTCGGACTTTCTTGTCTCGCGCCATTACAATCAATCGAAAGCGAACTATTTGAACTTCAAGATTTGGGCATCATCGTAAGTTCAGAAGCCAGCGAATTAGCTTAGAACTTTTTCTTGTCAAATACCAGCTAAGGAAGTCCTACGTATGCCCTATAAATTGAATATCTACTCACTGAGAATCCAATCAAATTGTAAACAACGAAGTCCTGAAAATGAAATCTGTTTATAACAAACGCACTGGGATTCCCAGTTGAACCCGTTTTTTCCGGACAAGATTTTCTGTGACAAACGAGTTTGCAGTAGAGGCAACTTTTTGACCCGAGACACATTGCCATTCTGACGAAGGTGCATTAATTGCTTCAGAGGCAGTGCAGGACCCTGGACTGTAGGTTTAGTTCAGAAGAAACGAACAAATCGGCTGGTGTAGCAGGACACACGTTAGCTAATTTGACGATTGTTGGGTTTTCCACATGATACTTATAGCTTTTTCGCATTTTCGAAACTCACTCACTCACTCACACGCACACACTCTCTCTCTTGCTCTCCCCTACAAAGTCTTCGAAGATGATAAGCCGGATTTCCACGGCTGCTGGTAAAATATGTTATGGCGCAGTACGGTATGTTGTTTTGTTGTAATACAGTTCGGCATAACATAGTATAACATATTATGGTACATCATATTATAGCACACTACAATAGGATATAGTATTGGCTCAGTTGGTTCCCAAATTGAACACAGCTGCAGACTCGAATCCAATAGGAAAACGCTATCGTTTCTAAATCAATGGAGAGTAGACCAGAGAAGTGGACGATTTAAGCGGCTCGTAAACCACCTAATAACATAAGTACATATTTGTGCAGAACAGGATTACTCATACAAACTTACGAGTGTTAACAACCATTAATCTCCAGTGTATCTAGATGTGATCTTTGTATTTGGCATTTTTTTAAGGCCTAGGGTAGCGTCAGAAACCAGCTGATATCCTTTCTTCCGTACGGAGAGCATCGAAATTATTCTGTTCATTGGCGAACTATTCTATTCATTCTACGCAACAAAAGCCTGATGCGCGCCAAACAATGCGTGCATTTGAGCTGCGGCTCTTGGTGCACAATCCGGCAGGTTCTACATGTGGTCCGGTCGAGCACTCCAATCTAACTCAGTTCGCACTATGTACCCTTAATGTATCTTTCCGCACGGTTGTGACAGACCACACAGATGAGGTGCAAAAAGGGGTAAACACTAGCATAATCGAGTATGACAGCCTTATTATATAGCTCTCCATGCAGGGTCATCTCTACCGAAGAGATAACTGGATGGGACTTGAGTTCAACTATCTCGGACGTCTCTTTTTCTGGCTGTTGACCGGGACTGTATCCAAACCCGTGTGCTCATCGCCTTTTCTCAACATGTTCAGTGTATCCATTTCTCTGTTTACCGCTTGCGATAGCCAGCGGTTTTGGTTTCCAAATGTCTGCTCACCGTACGCATTGATGTCACAAGTTAGTCACCCGCATATGCCGTTAGCTGCTCAGCGGGATGGCTTCACGTCCCCATATGGCCGCGCCCACCTCATATGATTGTTCGAAATGCGACCGTTGCAATCATTGAAGCTTACGGCTGTATTTCGCTCGAAAGCGTAATAGACTGCTACTTAAAATGTTCCCTCGGTTTGGCAACATGTTTACAAGGCTTTCGACACCTAGTGAGTTGACACCTTTAGTTCGTAGCAGTATAGCAGTACGTCGAGGTTCATCAATTTGTCGTTGTTCAGTCGTGCGTAGGTCATTAGGCCTGCCAACCGACGTCAAGCTCAGTGGACACATCAACTGTCAAACTCTCAACATGAGCTACAAGTGTCCTCCCCTATGTCAAACGTATTGCTTGACTGTCTTACAACGACGACCATAAAAAGAAAAATGGTTCCAGATGGCTTGATGGGAAATAGCACTGTGACATGAGTTGGAATGGAGGACTCAAGCACATGTCGAAACCGTCTTTGCATTCGAAAGTATCACAATTTACAAGTACATATTGTCTGGTCTCAGAAGTTTGCAGCAAGCCTTCAGTGCAGCGGCCGGTTGAAGAAAAGTATTCTAGCAACTCAGACCCTCAAACACTCGGCCCTCTTCCATGCCAATGCTCGGCTTTGATGATCTTGTATTTTTTTAGAGTTAAGAGTGAAAAACAATACATGAATAGTGCGCTGAAGTCTGGAGACGCCGCTGTGCACGCGGCGTGGCAACTATCGGCATGACTCAGTGCGCACGCGGAAACACCACAACAGCCTGGGGTGAGTCATGACGAGGTCGCACACTGAGCTTGTGATCGATAGTCTAACCGGTACTTCTCACTTTGCACACAGCTATGACCAAAAACTGTATGCCGTCTTAGTGTCAGAATATGGAGTAATGGGGTGTCGAAATCAAATAATTTGGTTGTAAGGACAATAATGAAATCAACCGACAGATTCGAAAAGGGATTATGGTGATCATTCAAGGATTTCAAGCTGCACGGAACAAAACAGTTGGACTGCAGACGAACGACAGCAGCGCACTGCGGTTCAAAGTTGCTGTACTGAAAGCTCAGGCATTTTCGGTAACCGTTGTCATATTCCCTTATCCTCATGTGTACAATGAATTCTTGGTGAATTGCACTCAACTAATCCTAGAGTCCTGAACAGAGAATCCCAATCCGACAGATGACCACGTAACAAAACTTTTGGTCTCCAAGGTAAGAAGATACGGTTGTTTCCATGTTATAAACCAGTGATTCCAGAAACCTTGGACCGTTTTTCCTGGTCGTATCACAACAAATGTGTACACAAAGATCATGGATTCTTCCATTTCCACACATCATTCGAGGTTGCTAGACTTGTGAGAAGTGTCGGCGACTCGGCCGTCCGCTCTTCGAAGGATTTCCGGCTATTCAGCACAAGATCAAGTAGTGGAGGGGAGAACCACATCCGTTCCTTTGCAGATTTACTCAGGTAAAGTGTATTCTCAGAAGGGAGCGCTGTATTACAACCTATCACTAAATCTCGGTTCCTAAATTCGGTCTGACAAATGAGGTGTATGAAACCATCTTCACTGAAGCTACCCTGAAGAAGAAGCGTATTCTTATCGGTGCATATTATGCCTACGTGGTAAACCTTGGGGCTAAGTTTAGTACCATCTGGCGTGTTGCAAAGGAAAAAAAAGAAAAAGAAACACAACCCGACATTCAGGTGTGAACGCAAGGTTGCAAATATCTAGCCACAGGCATGCATGTGTGTGGCTTGCATCTGGATAGTCCCAGTACTAGACTGAGTGAATAGCGGCAGCGAATATTTTAGAGCAGTCTCAAATATCCCATTGAGCGTGTCTGGGTTCTCCACCTGAACTGTAAAAAAAACATTTACAGCACAATGAAAATAAAACCTCAAGAAGTTTCGAGCTAAACAATCGCTGTTTTAAGGTTAAATTACTGAAACATTTTCACGTAGTTGGACAAGGAAACAAGACAACTACACACCGAATTTCAGATTCCTCAAGTTACCTCGAACCTCGAAAGATGACCATTCATTATTTAGGATATATGTGAGTAACATTTCAGTCTAGTAAAATACAAAAGCTGACACTAACGTGATTCCATGATCGAATCGTTAGAGTAGGTTAAACGACATGAAACTAGCAATACTGAATGCGGAATCTGGGGAGGACGGTACAGTCTCTTATCCTCTTGTTCTTTAGCCATAGCGTTCTTCGTATTAGTAAGTTAGACCTGAAAATAACGGTCTATCGAGAACCGCTGAACTGAGTTGTCTTGGTGCTGAATCAGGCTGTGTGACGTCTGTCTTCGTGTGATAAACATCCCCATCGTCGCCTCAGATAAGGAACTGGAAATAAACACCTCAGAGTTGAGCAACGCATCTCTCGCGGAACTATAGATCCTATCCCAAAGTCCTCGTTATCTTAACCCCAGCTTCCTCTCTGAATACTATATTGTGTACTCGCAGTGTGAAAATTGGAAATATTTCGATAGAGATTTCGTCTCGTGAGTAAAGCCAGTCTGTGCCGAAACGCCAAGAAGCACTCTACGTCTGATTCGTCCTTATTAGGAGTCATCAGCAGTACCCACCTCACAAATCGCCAGGGCGACTATAACTGGCATTTTACCGCAAATTCAGTGAAAACCATTCGGAAACGAGCGACTGATTAGTAGTCTGTCTAACTAACGCTTAGTTTCAGCCTTCAATCACATGAGAACATGTGTTAAATGGCTGCTCCTAGAGGAAGGGTTCGCTCGTCGTGTGAAATGTTCTTCCTTTGGAGCCGCTTGTAATTTGACCATAGTATGAGAATGAGTACAGTTGTTGTGACCCGGGTGAATAGAGACGTCTAGGATGAACCCCGAATAACACGCAAACTGAGATAAACATCCTATCCAGGTTTGAGTAATGGATTGGTGCTTGGTTCAGCAAACCCGGGCCGGTTTTGATTGATCT